CAAGTACCCACCTGTCCCTTGGCCTGTGAGCTTGGTGGTTTGAGGAGTGAGACTCTGAAGCCAAAAGAACTGTTTTTGTTAGAAAGTCACTCAGGGCATAATAACATCTCATAGGGGTTCAGGGCAAAGCAGGACATGGATTTGAGGGAGGGATATGACCCCAACTCTGCCTAAACTTGGCACCCCCCTATTACTACACATGGTAAATGGGATGTTTAAGTATATATATTATATAAATAAATAATATAGAAATTATATATTTTGAACTTGATATAAATGAAATCATACAGTGTAGAAAACCTCTTTTTGTCAGATTTCTTTTGTTCAATGTAATGTTTGTAAGATTCACCAGTGTGTGTAATATTGCTGTGTAGCATTCCATTTTATGAATAAACATCAATTTATCCATTCTCTTGTTAATGGACATTTGAGTTGTTCTCAGTTTTGGGCTATTATAAAAAAAAAAAGGCTGTAAACATTTTTGTATGTCTCTTTTGGTGGACCCATTATATTTCGAGGTAATTTTTTACTGGCGCCAAGAAAATCTATTGATTTTGTTACGCTTATCCAGTATTTGGCCATCTTACTAAATTCTAATAGCTTTTCAGTTGGTTTTTCTTGGAACACATTTGTATCAGATAGAAAGCTTTTCACCTCAAGTAACAGAAAACCCAACTGAAATTGGATTGAGGTCCAGAGCGTGTACATTTGCCTCCATAACTGCAGAGTCCAGAGCGGGTCTGTCCTCAGGCAAGGCGCTAGAGAGCAGAGTGTCCTCAGGGCCATCTCCATTTCTCTGGGCTCCTCTTGGCTCTTTTCCTCCTCTGTGTGCCACCTTTGACCTCATTCTTGCTCCTCCTCACAGTGGAACAATCGCTTCAGCAGTTCCAGAACTCAAGTCCTCACCACACCATCCAGAGGAAGAGTGTGCTCTTTGGGGAACACTGAAAGAGCAGGAGGCTTCTTTCCCCAAGTCCTCAGTCAACATTGCCTCATATCTCATTGGTCCAAATTGGGTAACATGCCCATCTCTGAGCCAATCAAATTTTGTGATCAATAAGATTGTATGCCCTGATTGGCTTAACCTAATCAGAAACCATCCTGTCATCTGGGGGTTGGGCGGGGGGAGTCAATCCCACGAAACCACGTGGCTGTCACATGAGACAGGGATGAGTTCCTAAAAGGAACATCATGGGGCTTTTGACTGAACAAGGAAATGGATGCTACAGAAGCAACCACAAAATATTTATTATGACAATTAGAATGATATTGCCTGTAATGATTATTCATTATCTCGTTATGACAGTAACATTATTTAAGTTCTGTCTCTTGTCTCAACATGCTGGCTACAGCATGGGGTCTTTTAAATTTACATGGAATGATGAAAATGGTCTTGAGCATTTTGAGAAGCTTTGGGAAAGACGTTTTTAAAAACAGAGGGGCAGAGGGAAGGACTAAGAAGCAAATGCTTCCTAACCTTTGATGTATGATGTGTAGATGCTTGAGGCCAGTCTGATGGCTAAGGATCTGGTAACAAAGGGCTCAACCCAAGAGTTGGTTGAGATGGACTTGGCAAACTGGGATGGCGTATTAGTTTTCTATTGTTGTGTAATAAATTACCAAAAATTTAGTGGCTCAGAACAACACAAATTTATTATCTTACAGTTTTTATAGGTCAGAAGTCTAGGGACAGGTTAGCTGGGTTCTCTGCTTGGGGTCTCACAAGTCTGAAATCAAGGTGTTGGCTGGGCTGCATTCTCATCTGGTGCTCACCTTCTAAGCTCATTCAGATTGTCGGCAGAACTCAGTTACGTGAGGTTGTGGGACTGAAGTCCTTGTTTTCTTGAGTTTTCTTTCAGCTCCCAGAGGCCACCCTCAGGTCTAGCTCCTTGGTCCTCTCACAGCCTGTTGACTTACTTCTTCACGACCAGCAGGGGAATTTCTCTCCAATCTGCCATGATGGAGGTTTTTCTTTTTTTTTTTAATTGAGGTTACACTGGTTTATAACATTATACAAATTTCAGGTCTACATCACTATATTTCAGTTTCTGCGTAGACTACATCATGTTCACCACCCAAAGACTAATTACCATTCGTCACCCTACACACATGCCCTTTTACTCCTTTGGCCCTCGCCCCTCCCCCTTCCCCTCTGGTAACAACCCATCTAATCAGCTATGAAGGGGTTTTATATATCATAATCATGGGAGTGACTATGCCATCATATTCAGAGGTCCTGTCCACACTCTTGAGGGAGGAGATTACATAGCGCGTATGTGGGGAGTGGCGGGAGGCGGGAATCTTGGGGGCCATCTTAGAATGCTGCATACTGTAAAAGGCAATTATTGCCCCAAGGCTTGTGGCTCATGGCACACTGACCAGGAAATTCACTATGCTTAGAAATAGATACTGAGAGGTATTATAATACACACACACACACACACACACACACACACACACACACTCACACATACATACAACATGAGGGATGGAGAGATGAAATTATAATTCCAAGTGTGTGAATATTTCTAAGAATGTGGATTCAGAGAAACCATCAGACATCTAAATTTTCTATACCACTTTATAACCTGACAGTTGATCTAATGATATTCAAAATATTTCTAATAATTAAAATTTGTAGAATATCCTTTAAGTTCACAGAGCACCTGCATATATATTGTTTTGTTTGGCCCTTTCCAGAATGTTGTGAGTTAGGTAATAATAGAAACACCAGCCCATGAGCTATGCTTTAGCATTTGCTCTTTTATTTGCATTAGTTCCCAGCTCTCACATTCCTAGTGCAGTTCACATGCCAGCAAAACAGCAAAAAGTGTAGACCACATGCTATTTCACACTTTTGTCTCTTCGGCCATGTGGTTCACTTTGTAGAAAATGTCTTTCCTTGGCTTGTTCACTTGGAAAACTTCTATTCATCCTTCAAAACCCTTTTTTTCTCAGACAGGGAGGTCAGGAGCATGCTGGAGCAGCATTGTTCTTAAGACGGCCTTGTGTTGCTCTTGATAGGCTGGGTAAGGAGGATCTGCAGGGTGACAGATGCAAGCCAGGCCCAATTCCACATCTGCCTCAGACATCTACAGAGGAAAACTTGCCAGCACTCAGAGGCAGTGTTTAAATAAACACTTATTATTGAATGAATGGTCTGAGTGCTTGACTTGTATTAACTCATTTAAGCCTCACAACAACCCAATGAGGTGGCTATGGTTATTTTCCCACTTTATAGATGAGGAAATCAAGACACAGAAGGCTTAGTGGTAGAGCCAGGATTCGAACCCAGCCCACACTCTTACACCTCCATACAGTATTGACAATGTCAGTATCTGCCTCACAGCATAGAGTTAAGAGATATAACACATGTCCTGTGCTCAATGCCTGCTGTATAGTAAATTTGCAAAGTGTGAGAATTATTTTTATTACCTATGGCACAGAGGCTTCTGCTTTCCTATTCTTTGGAATGTGAAGCAGAAAGAAAATAAAAATAACAGAACATTCCCCTACCCACCCCCCAAAAAAACCCCTTCATCCTTGTTTGGGTGTACCACTTCCCTGTTTAAAGAAGCCAGGCCCTCTTTTTGTTTTGGGGGAGCAGACTACAGAGAGGAATGTGATACAACAGCAGGATTTACATCTGCAAACGCATTCTAGATGTCAGGGAGGGAGACATGTTCTAGATGGGCTGGGGTCCAGAGCCTCTTTAACCAGCATATTTAAGTGCCAAACAGGAGATGTTCGATAATAGTAGTTCTTTCCCCATCCTTTCCTTTTTGAGCTACATTTAGTCAATAGCATGCCTTTCAGATTTTAAAGAACATTCTTCATCAAAGAATTCTTGTAGGAGTCAATACACTTCACTGTTGTTTCCAGGAAAACTTGGTGGGCGTTTTCAGTGAAAATTTGGTGAATTTAAGTTCTAATGGGAAGCCATAGTGATCATGGTCAGAAGATGGCTTCCATTCAGCTGTGTGACCTTGGACAAGTGACTTAGCATCTCTGAGCTTTAGTTTCTTTGTCAGGAGAATGGAAATAGTAGTGTTATGTGGATAAGGTATATGAAGTGTTTAATCTAGTTCTGACATGTAATAAGTGTGTCCAAAAATATTACTATTATCATCTGATTTAACCCCCAAAACAATCTTGTTAAATAAGGATTATGATTATGATTATCGTCTGTATTTTACAGATGAGGCCCTGAGGCTCAGACAGCTTCTCTGTTCCCCATGACACGATGGCACTCAGGAATAGTTATTGATTACCTGTCAGGTTTCTTTTTTCTTCCACCTTGCCTACACAGTGGGATGGAGTTCCATAAATGTCTTGGCAGGTTGACAGCATACCTTGACAAGATATTAACCACCTCTGCAAAATATTCAGACTTTAGAAAAATAAGATGATACAATAGTTTCAGTAGAACTTTATGATTTTCTTTGTGGAAGTCCCCAAATCAAATTGGAATTAAGTATATATGCAAACGGTTACCTACAGGAGATTCATCATAACTTGTTTATATAACCCAAGCTGTAGAAACAACCTAAATCTTCAACAATTAGAGACTGATTAGATTAACTGTAGTATATGCATACAATGAAATATTATGCTACCTCAAAATGAAATCACGTATTTGCCTACATGGAAAAAAATGTTAGTATAGTGTTGTGTGATAAAAAAAAAAAGGTTATAATTCATGAAGCATGAATCCATCTCATAAAAAGAAATTATATTTGCATAAATAGCAAAAATATATAATATATGCACTTAAAGACATCTGGAAAGGTGTGACCAAAATTGTCACCTTTGGTTGTCTCTGTTGGAATGGGACAGTGTTGTGGTAATTTGAATTTTCTATTTTCATGTGTGTGTTTAAGAGGGAGGTCCTTTATTTTGTGACCTTTACGCAATGTATAATACATTCCAGTTACTAAAGAACAGAAGAGGAGGAGGAAAGTGTTGGGTATCCGTGTGCTAACGCGGGTTGCACGTTGCAGGTGATTGTGAAGACAAGAACGGAATACCAGCCTGAACAGAAGAACAAAGGGAAGTTCCGGGTGCCGAAAATCGCCGAATTTACGGTCAGTTTCTTGATGGTGTAACAGACAGAGTAAAGGTAAGGCTGGCTTCAGCCAGCTCGGACACCTCGCGCTGGGGGAGCAAGTGCAGCTGGACGGGGGAGAAGACACCGGCTACTTCAGGAGGATTTCGTGAGGGCACACTGTCTGGGTCACTGAGTCTAATCAAATAACCAAAGCTCTGCTGCCTGAGGACCACCCATGCTCTCTTCTGCCAGGAAGGTTTGAATATTTTGATAACTGATAAATGCGTCTCATTTCTTCTTTTTCTTCCTGTCCCCACCTCTCTCCCTTTCCATCACAATGTCCAGGAAATGTGCTGGAAATATATAAAGAAATATATAAATTAACTAATATAAATTTTAGTCAATGGATGGTTGCAACAAATTCAAAAAAAGACAAAGGGAAAGAAAAGCTGACTTCTTAGTGGTAAAAACCAAATGGTTGACTTTCTGTTTCTTGTTGGAGGGATCACTAGGAGAACTGACAAATATATATCACTGTGATGAGTTGCATGAAGGAGCCATGAAGCATGCTCTGTGACGATATAAGGTGGAACCTCAGGGAAGTACCCTAGGAAAGTCACTTAGGACCTTAGATGGTTAAGGAGAGCACAGCTTGTACAAAGGCCCTGAGGCTGGAGGGAGGCTGGTCCTAACACTGAATAGCAATAGGGCAGAGAGGCTGGGCTCTAGGAGGGGTGTAGGGAGCTGGCAGAGATGAGGCAGGAGAAGTGGGCAGAGGGTAGACAATTCCAGGCCTTGTAGGCTGTAGGGAGGAATTTGGGTTTTATGCTAGAAACATAAAGGAAACTTCTGAAGGATTTCAAGAAGAGAAAGGACATGATGAAATTTCATTTTTGGAAAAAGCATGTTGGCTTTTACGTGGCTAATGGAGTGTAGGGGGCAAGGGAGAGTGCAGTGGCTACTGCAATCGTCCAAGTGAAAAAACAATAGTGGCTCGGATAAGGATGGTGAGCAGAGAGAGAGACGTGGGCAGACCTAAAGGATATTTAGGAGGCAAAATCAGCCACGGAGGCAGTAGAACAAATGGCTCTGTGGATGGATATTGGAGCAGTCTGGGTGGGTCTGAGCCCTGTTTCCACTTTATACCAGCCAAGTGGCCACAAGCAAGTCAGTAAACCTTGTCTATCAAATGGAGATAATAGTAGAGTTGCTGTAAGGATGGAGTACAGAATAGGTGCAAAGCACTTGGATCTGCACCTGATAAGCACACAACTGATAGTAGCTGTTTTGTGTCAACTGTGACTGGGGGCTTTGAAAGCAAAAACAGCCCTTGCTTGGTTATCTGGGAACTGGAATGTGTACGTGGATAAACATGGTGGTCTGTTTCTGTCCCTGTCTTTCTCCCTGCTAAATCTGTGTTGGAGTAGCTGGGTGCATGAGCATGGGAGGGAATGTGGCAGTTCTGTGCACACCCCCTGGAATGTGGGACTTCTCTGGATGCTGACCCCTCTTTGGGGCCAGGGACTGCTCTTATTGTTGGCTGTGGCTTCATTCTCTGGCACACAGCGTGGGCCCAGTGCACGTGGACCTGGCCTGAACTGCGTGCGAATACCCGCCAGAACCAGCGGGTAGCTGTGAAGGAGGGTGGGGGTCTCGTGGTGCATCATATGTGTGCACCAGGCTGGGGAGTAGAGCCGACCTGTCTCCTGGCAGCAGAGATCATCAGATATATGCCCAGATTCACGTGCAAGAATGTTTATTGCAGTGTTATTTATAAAATCAAAGTGTTGGAAACAATGATAGATTTTCAACAACTTTTTCACGATTCTGTAAATAAGACCACGTCCATTAGATGGACTATTTTAACAGTTTCTTAAGAATCACTTTTTTTCAGAGGGTATTTAGTTTACTCTGAATTATGGGCTTATGAGATATTTTCATCTTCTTTTTACTTTCCACATTTTATATGAGCATACATTGTTTCAATAATCAGAAAAAAATTGAAATTATTTTAAAAATGTGCTCTTTTTACCAAATAGAGTGTTACAAGTTTTTGATGGAATTATTCCTTATTTAGCAGTCATTTAAAATGATGGTTATGAAGACATGCAATAATTTGGGCAAATACTTCACAGCGAAGCTTGAGTGAAAAAAACAGAGATGACAATTGTGTATTATCTAGAATTGGAATTGTGAAAAACCCCATAAGCACGCAGAGGAAAAAAGACGTGGGAAGAAACGTATCATACGCAGCCCGGGGCTGCGTTATCAGTGGCGGCGTTGGATTATGGTTTCTTTACGTACTTTTTTCTCTTCGGCAACTTCTGGTGATGCGGCTATTTTATCATGTGTAATGCCCACGAGTCCCTGGGAGACTGCTGTAACCCCCGTTCTCAAGGGGAACTAGGGCTCGCAGCAGTGACCCGCTCACCCAGCTAGCAAGGGCGGAGCCGGCGCTCGGAGCCGCGCCCGGCCGGCCTTTCTGGTCTGCCGCCCCGCCTGCAGGGCGGGTACCTGCCGGTCAGAACAGAAGGGAGCCAGCCGAGAGAAAAGGAGTGTTCTAGAGCCTGCGGAAGGCCCCACGCAGCTTGACTCACTTAGTCCTCGGGGTCAGGAAAGAAGGGCGTGGGGTTCAGGGGCACCCTGTGTCAGCACTGACTGTCACGTGTGGGCGGAGGGCCTGCCACTTGGAACAAAATGGGAGGAATGGGATAAATTCGTTTGCTTATGTAAAGCTGTGAGCATTCATTAGCCTCTTTTCACTTTCTTAAAGAGAGCTCCTTCTGGGCCCTGGAGAACACATCTGCTGCAGTGAGGGCGGGTGCAGGGGACTAGGGAGGAGGCTGTGGTGGCAATTAAGAAGAGCCTGAGGGTCTGAGCTGTCAGCTGCAGCGGGGCTCGGGGTCCAGGTGGGTTATGGAGATGGAATTTATGGAAGACTTGTTGCTGGTTGGGGAAAGGGGAGTCGGGGTGCTCCTTGGTGTTTGGCTTGGCTGACTGGGCCAGCAGGATGTCTTCTACTGAGGTAGCAGGCTGGGGGACCCAGCTGGAGGAGACACATTGAGTGTGAGTGCCTGGGGGCCATGCGGGAGGAGGAGGTGTCCTGGTTGCCTTTGGATGTAACCGTTCTGGAGCTCAGGATGGAGATTTGGGCTGGAGAACCAGGGCTGGAAGTCAGAGAATTCCCAGTTAGTCTTAGAGAGAGCAGTGCTGGTAAACATGGCTGGATGCCCCTCCAGGGTACTGCCCACAGCAGAGGTAACCATGGGGATGGCAAAGGTCATCCCTCCCTCATTCCAATACCTTCACATTGCTGGAACAGTTCGTGACTTCATATCTCAAAGTTGACCTGGAGAGAGCAGCTCATAGCAATTACGTGTGAGACAGATTGAGAGGGGAGAGCAGGGTGGGGAGGGATGAATGAAAAAAATCACTTGAAATTTTTGTCATTTCTCAAACCAAGAAGGCTCTTGAAGTCATTGCGAAGGGCCACAGACTTGTAAGATCGTTCATCAGGCTTATTTGAGAAGATGGGAGCATGCAAAAAGAAGCCTTCCTCTTTCTTAGTCCTGGGAGCCAAGAGTTCTTAAGCTAATTTTGCTATGGAAATACTGGTGCTATGGAGGGTACAGGTGATATGGAAGGTGCTGGTGCTATGTAGGGTAAGGGTGCTATGGAGGGTACAAGTATTATGGAAGGTACAGGTGCTATGGAGGGTGCTGGTGCTATGAAAGGTGCAGGTACTGTGGAAGGTATGGTGCTATGGAGGGTATGGTGCTATGGAGGGTGCTGGTGCTATGGAGGGTACAGTTGCTGTGGAAGGTGCTGGTGCTACGGAGGGTACAGTTGCTGTGGAGGGTGCTGGTGCTATGGAGGGTACAGGTGCTAGGGAGGGTGCTGGTGCTATGAAAGGTGTGGTGCTATGGCGGGTGCTGGTGCTGTGGAGGGTGCTGGTGCTATGGAGGGTACAGGTGCTATGGAGGGTGCTGGTGCTATGCAGGGTATGGTGCTATGGAGGGTACAGGTGCTATGCAGAGTGCTGGTGCTATGGAGGGTGCTGGTGCACCTGGTCGTGCTCTCATACCTGATTATCCCTGGGCTGGTCCGTGAGAAGGAAGTGAGTGTTGCATTTGGAGCCGTTTGTGTTAGAATGATGAGAGGTGTTCTGGGGGACTCCTGGGCTGTGGGGCTAGACTCACCTGGTCATCTGAGACCCTGTCCCAGTCACCTCTCAGCTTCGGGACCTGGGGAAGTCCCCTCACCTCTGTGAGCTCTTGATTCCTCATCAATAAACCAGGACACAATCCGAGATAACCAATAGTGAAAGTCCTCGGCTCACTCAGGGCTTCATGAGCAATCGTGTTGTTACCTTCCTGTTCAGATCTGTTTTCTTCCTCCTGGGTTCTTATCTTCCTGCCTAATCAGCCGCTTTTTGTCTGTTGGTTGAGACAGACCTGGGCCTCCCTTTTTCGGCTCTTCAGCTGGGAATGTGGCTGGGAAAACCTGGAGGAACAGTTCAGAGGGTAGCCAGTTCAATGCTGGGCTTCATGGGCGGCCTTCGGCTCTCAACAGCCACCTCTGGATCTGTCTCTTGTCTACTGGGAGTGTAGGCAATTTTTTTTATAGACTATTTCTCAACACATCAGTTATCAACATGAATAATCCTAGCGTCTGTTAAAAATGCTTTTACATCCACTCTTCAGCCTAACGACAACCTGTGAGCTAGATACTCTTATTATTACCGCATTTTACTAATGAGAAAACATGCTCAGAGAAGTGATGTGACTCCCAAGGCCGCTCAGCCAGGACCAATCAGAACAAAACAAGAAGCCAGCTTTGCCGCTCCATGCCCACTCTCTCGGCCACACCTCGGTGTCACCCTGCCATTGTCTTTGCCAAGCTGGGCCTGCCTGCCTGCCCTTCCTCCCCTGTCTTCCTTGTCTTTATTAATATTTGCTCTGGGCTGGGCTGAATGCCTGTTGCCGGGAGACACAAAGACGCATAAGACAAAATCCTTGCTCTCTTGCAAATGTGTGG